GGCTCAGGCTTAGCCTGCATTTTAAGTGTTGCAATGCAATTCTCCACATTTTGCTCTCTATTTTTCAGTTTGCTTAACGCCTTCAAACAGAAATTTACAAGGTCAAATTAATTCCTAAAAATTGGGAAAAAATAAGAACAAAAAGAAAATAAATAATTTTACCTGATAAAGGATATAAAGAAAATGTTATACGTTTAATACTATTTACTAGGCTAGCGATTAGCAGGGTCCACGAAATGAGAATAATCCAACGGCAGATAAGCAACGATGAGAATAGTCGACGGCAGCAGATGAATGACTGTTACAGCGAACACAGAATTTATTATTTACACAAGAAACCCACCATTGATTTGACAGATTGTGCTGCGAACTGAGGAACAAAGATTCGAGCATTAATTGGGTGATTTTAGGGTTAGGGCTGAGAATTGAGGATTGAGGAGTGAGGAGTGAGGAGGACTCAAAAATCAGAGGGGAGTATGGCAGGTGAATTGAGTGCTTTTAGGTTCATGATGCCAAGGCATCGTCCCCATACCACTGATCTCCAAGCCGCTGCCGGGTGGGGTATCGCTGCCGTCACCGGTGCTCTTTGGCTCGTCCAGGTCAATCAATCCCTCCCTTTCATTTCTTCTTCTCCTTCGTTTGTCCATGGCCTCTATTAGATCGCGCCTAATAAGTTCTTCTCTTTTTGAATATAAATCATCATTCTTTGTGTGTAAATATAATCAAAGCATGTCAAAAGGCATTCTTTTTTCAGAGGATTTGCATGAAAACGAATTAATTCAACTATTGATTTGACAGTGTTTATGTGATTGTAAATTATTTTTGCTAGAATTTTTGGTTTATTGGTATAGGAAATGTCGATTCAATGGGATCAAGCTCTGAAGCATGTGTTTTCTGATTGAGTATTTTTCTTTTTGCTGAAACCTTGTGTGGATTTTCTGATAATTTTGGACAGATGAGAAATTGTTTTCCTCTTCAGACATATCTGGTAGCACAGTTAGAGACTTGTTTTCATTTGCTATGTATGAAAGGGCAACCTATAATTTTAGGAAGAAACGAAAATAATTAAAACCATCAGCACATAATTTCAGTCATCTAAAATTGATCCAGGTCCAGGGGGTCGCTGTTCTTGTTGCAGATGAAATGCAACTTGCTCAGCAGCTGTGCTTGGGCTATCAAAATTAGACTTTTGATATGTCAGCTTTCGTTAGATGAAATCCATCTTAAAATTTGATGTGCAAGCATCCATTTCGATTGTTCTCCTTGCCTGCCAATTTTCTTCATTGCCGGAGATCTTTGGAGGGATTTATGTGGATAATGTTTGAAGTTTTTGATATTAAAAACTCCTCTGACTGACTTAGAGATTACAGGAGTAGGTCATGATGGAGTGTTTATAATAAGCTCCGGTGATGTTTTGCACTTTCACAGAAACCATGTGTACATGAACATCATTGCAACTCTCTACCCTCTTAAATCATTAATTAAATCATATTTGTCTAATATTTTGTTATTCTATGAATTTTTGCAGCCATTTGATTGGCTGAAGAAGACCTTCTTGGAGAAGCCGGAGCCTGAAGACAAGTGAAAATGGAATTGAACATTCTGGTAAAACTCTGTTTGATGAGACTGATGACCATATGGAAAATGTTGTTTTGATGAGACTACAATGGATAGAGTTTATGCGAATAATAATCGTGTAGTTTCGTACTTAATTTAATTGTTAATTACATGCAAAGCCTTTCTTTGCACTAATTCCTGATTCTTGTTTATGCCATTCCTGCAATTTTACTTTCTGCTTTCTGTTTAAACATATGGAATTCTATAAGACGAACAAGCCCACAATATTAGCTATGAGCCCTTCTCCATAACAGGAAAGCTTTGTTGATTTGCTTCGGTTTCTTTCCCGCTACTTACATACGGACTATTGGGGGAGAGGGATTTTGGACACAAGACCTCGGGTGCAGAGATAACTTTAGTACCAAAATACCAATGTTTTTGTGTTTGGGTCATTGCCCTAGCTTGGAGACCAAGCCCATATACATCATAAGAAAGGCCATTTGTCCTCGCTCCCAAATTGAAAGCCCACCAACCCAGAAAGCAAAAGTAAAGTTCTTTTCTAATTTATTTAAATAGAAAAGTTATTAAAAATAAAAGAAATAAGGATAAAAGAAAAAGAAAAAGGGAAAAAGCTGCAAAGTACACAGTACACACCGAACTCAAATGTATGGATTCTATTATTCTAAATTATTTTCCAATATTAGCTAGGTAGGTAGGTAGGTAGACTAAAAGAGGAGGCGCGTAAGTTGACGCGCCAAACTCGACTATGAAAAGTGAAAAAAAGGGTACCAAAAACAGAACCAAACAACCAAACCGAACCCTAAATCTAAGAGACTGAGTCTTTGTGACCAGTAAAAAGGTCCTCTGTTATGCTATCTATCCTCAATCACACGTGTCCTCACATCAGCGGTCCGATCTTCGATCTCCGAGAGATTTAAATAGTGTTAACGTCTTTTTCGCGTCTCTCCTGAACAGAACAGGAAATTTTAGCGGCAGCAAAATAAAAGAGAGGACGGACTGTCACAGAGTCCCTCTCTCTCGTTTTTTCATTACAACGATCTCTCTCTCTCTCTCTATCTAGGTTTTCCAATTCTTCCTTTCAATTCGATTTAATTGCTGTTGGGTTTTTGTTTTTGGTTGAATAAGTGATCAAAGTATTGATCTTTGAGCTCAATTTTTACGGGATTGAAGAGAGAAAAAATAAGGGGGAATTGGGGAAGATGGAGACGGAACTGTTGGAGTTGTTCGAAGCGGTGAAGAAATCGGCGGACGCCGCCACGTCTTGTGACGGAGGAGCCGAGGAAAGCCAATGCCTTGATGCCTTGGAGCAGCTCAAGAATTTTCCCGTCACTTACCAACTCCTCATCTCAACCCAAGTATGTTTTTTTTTATTTTTTTATTTTTAAATTAATTGATTAATTTCTTCCTCTGTTATCCTTGTTTTGGCTTTTATGGGTTTGCAGCATGTTTCAATTTCTAACTAATTGTGCTCTCTTTGGTTCATCAAAAGGCCTTTAATTATCGGAATCAAATTTGGATCTGAAAGTTTCGTTTTTTTTATTTTATATCATTTTAAAAAAAATTTATAGAAGAAACTTGGCTTACTGAAACAATTTGAACTGTATCATTCGGAATTTTATCTCCCATAAGAAACCAAGCTGCAATTTCCTGATTTAAAACATCACATTTGCTTCTAATTCCTTGGTTCAACTTCTTTCGTGACGATAATATGCAAATTTAACTCTTAGAGACTAGATGTTAGCAGCATAAATTGAAGTTCTCTATCAAGATGTCACGGCTTTTGCCTGCCCCAGACAATTTTCTGTTTGGATTTTAGGTCTTTGATCCAATTAGGGCCCAAAATCTATGCGTATTCGTATACACACATGGGGGCATAGGGGTTGTATGTTTAGTGGTTGATACTGCTGCAATGCCTAATGCTTTTGAGTTGTTGCATGGTTTAAAAATTCATGTTGAATTCACTGTACTGCAATTCGTATGATTTTCTTACCTGCGAAATGAGATTTGAGGTTTGGTCTGATCTTTGATTGCAATTTCCAGGTTGGAAAGCGTCTTCGACATCTCACAAAACATCCCAGAAAGAAAATCCAGACATTTTCTTCTGCCCTGATTGATACATGGAAAGGGATTGTTATTAAGGAAGCAAACAAAGATGCGAAAAACGGCAACTTGGAAAGAATAGACTCTCTAAAACGTGCGTCTCCAAGTGCGGAGAGTCCCAGGGCTGAGAAGGTTCAGAAGACATCTGCTGTGAAGGTAGAGAAGGTTTCAAAGGCGGAGCCTGTTGAGATTAAGAAGGTTGATCGAGGTGTTAAACCAAGCTCTGAGAAAGCTTATAGTTCTGAAACTGTCAAGACGGAGAGAAAGGTTCAAAATGCTAATGCTGTCAAGACAGAGAAAGCTGCTTCAGCAGAGAGTGTTAAGGTTGAAAAGATAGCCAAAGAAGTGAAGAAACCGGCACTGAACTCCTCTGCTCCCCCAAAGTTAACATCTATGATCAAGTCTAATGATACAGCACGGGACAGAGTAAGGGGAATGCTGCACGAGGCTTTGTCCAAGGTTTCTCAGGAGGCTGACGAAAGATTTGCAGATTATGTGAATGCATCTGATCCTATTAGAGTTGCTGTGACTGTGGAATCTGTGCTCTTTGAGCACTGGGGTGGTTCCACCGGTGCCCAGAAGGCAAAGTATCGATCTTTAATCTTCAACCTCAAGGACCAAAAGAACCCAGATTTCCGCAGAAAGGTTCTGCTCGGAGACATCGAGGCAGAGAGGCTGGTGGACATGTCAACGGCGGAAATGGCAAGCGATCAGAGGCAGGAGGAGAACAAAAAGCTTGAACAAAAAGCCTTGTTTGAGTGTGAGCGTGGAGGTCCGCCAAAAGCTACAACCGATCAATTCAAATGCGGTCGATGCGGGCACAGGAAGACCACCTATTACCAAATGCAGACCAGGAGTGCCGATGAACCTATGACAACATATGTAACATGTGTAAACTGCAACAACCGTTGGAAGTTCTGTTAGTGAGTCTTGTAGGAATTGTGGCCACATTTTAGTCAAGCAGTTTTACCGTGGTTGTGCTCGCTCTAGGCCAGTCAGACCATATGGGATCATTCCCATTTGAGTATTGTAGTATGTAGGATTTTTTAATAATGTTTTCTTCTTTTAGAGTTGTTAGGCCTAATTTGTTTGGAGAACTGCTTTTTATTAATTGAATTGACGCGTTTATTTCATTCCATTGGTAGTTCCTTCTTTTGGTGAAAATTCATATTGCTGTGTTAATGTGTATGTTATTTCTTTGGAGCTCCAAGAAACTTGCACAGAAATCACCTCAAGCTTAGAAAATTGGTAAGTTTTAGACAATGAATGTGCTTATTTTTACAACTTTGTGTGAACAATATTGCTTGAAATTGAAACATGCTGCAAGAAGAGACAACGTTTTTGATTCCTTAAACAACAATTTATGAATACAATCGTTGCATTGTAATGAAGATTGGACATGAATATCAAGACTGGTTACGTTCCTTGAGAGCCTGGAAAACTCTGGAACTCTTATAAAAGATCTGAGCCCTTCTGTTGTAGTCATTGGGTTCCTTGCCTTCATCTTCTCCCATGATGGCTTCACGTTCCAAACATTCCAACAGCTCCACCATTCCTCTGTCTCCACACTTCTCTCTCAGCCTCCCTACTCTCAGCCACTCCTCTACTTCGTCTTCTGGTCGAATCTCGGCCTCCAGCTCTCCTTCTATCTCGCTCACCGGCCCCGACGAACAACCGGTGTCTGCACATCGAACCACCACTGCTGATGATGATTTCTTGTGATCCACTCTTTGCTGCATTAAGCTTAACCCATGATTCTGCCATGGCCTAAGTCTCAATCCCCAAGAAGGGTTGAGAGTTGAAGGGTCTCTGGTTTTGCGTGTGGGGATAGAACAAGAGCAAAAGTCGTGTGTTTTTGTGTGACACAGAGAGACCTCCATTGTTACCCTAGTCTAGTTTGGATATTTGGTTTATGAGATTGGGGTGCTTGGACTTGGATATATAGAGGTCAGAGGGTGAGAGGTTGAAGTAGTTTCTGTTGCTCCACGTGTCCGTAGTGGACACGTGACAAAGAGGGGGAGGCACGTGTTACACAGTAGACATAGGATCGTTTGGGATTAGAGTTAGAGATGATTCTTACAGAGAGTTTGGTGGTGCTCTGTTTTCACCAAGAGGCACGCTTTTCAAAGGGTCATGGCCCACGTCAGAAGTTCCGAGTCCCTTTGCTTGTCAAAGATGAATTCAAATGGGTTTTATTCAAAGAAGGCCACGGCTTTGTGGCTGCCATTTGTTCTCCCATCCCCGAATTCAAATGCGTTACGTTCGAGAGCTTCACACTCATACAGAATCTTGGTTTGTTTGATTGCAAATCTCGTTCAACTTGTGAGGAGGAACAAATCATTCAAAGTACAAACAATTCAAAGTTTTGTATTTTCAAATGTGTCACAGTCCCATGAAGAATATGAAGGTGTTGTGGATAAACCCAATAATACTTGGGTCTTGAGTTGACAAATCAATTTGTGGCCGAAAAGGATTCTACTTTGGCTGAATAACCTGAAACCCACGAAACAGAGGTGCTTTTTACATAGAGAGAGAGAGAGAGAGAGAGAGAGAGAGAGAGAGAGAGCTAACAAATTTACAGAAATATTAACATCACACATCTAACAAATTTACAGCAATATTAATGAAAAAAATCCCATATATACATGAACAGAATAGTTTTGAATATAAAATTCTAAACAGAAAGATGGTTAGAACGCCTAACAAAATGCCTTTTTTTCTTCCTGCTTTTGATGAATGGAATAATTTGGTGAGAAACCCTCATGAAGAACATGCATGCTGCTCCTTCTGTCTCTTTTCAGCCGCTATAGCAGCAGCCACAGAAGGAGGCAAATGCCTTAGACTCTCAGTTTCCTTTTCATCGGAACCCTCAGCTGGCTTTTCATCAGCTTCTGGTACAGCGGGTGGTGCTGTTGCAAATAAGGATTCAATGTCTTTTAATGTCAAAAAAGGTTCATCTTGATTCTTTGTGTTCCCGTTAATGAAGGCAGTGGTGTTCTTGCTCCGATTGAGTTTATATATACTCTCTTCAACTGTGCCTTTAACCTAACACCACAAAAATAACATGAGAGATTACATACGTGTTTTGTTGCATGCAAAGTACCCTTATTTAAAGAATCAGAAAGAGAGACACATACTATGAAACGATGAGCTATGGTCCTATTTTTCTGTCCGATTCGGTGTACCCGGCTGATTGCTTGTGCTTCTACTGCTGGATTGAGAAGTGGCTCAACAAGAATAACATGCTTCGCTTCTAGAAGATTGAGGCCATTAGCTCCATGTTGAATTAAGAGCAGTAATACTTGAACAGATCTTTGTTCTGGTTCCTGGCCATGTATCTTGTGATTTCCTTTTGTGCTTCTCTTTTCTCCTTTGAATTCGCTAATGGAAACTTGTGATTTCCTGCACTTACAGAGCCAGATTATCAAGAAAAATGGAGACAATCAAGTCCAAGTTCATTCATGATTCAAGTCCCCAACAAGCTGTTTGACAGATCCTCTTACCTTCCTCCTTTCATCCGAATGTGGGTAATGCCATTAGCAGTGAAGGCATGCTCCAATACATTAAGGACATCATGCCAGCTTGAGAAAACAAGGACTTTAGCCTCTGGATCTGTAGTCTTTATCCAGAGGATTCTTCTCGTGACTGCTTCAATCTTCACAATATCCCCACAAATGAACATTAATCCAAACTTGCTGACCCAAATTATAGTAATAAAATGGCAAGGGAATTTCTTTTCTCCAGGGAAGAAAATGCTAGACATATATATATATTTTCGGGTCAGGAACTATGCTAGACTGAAAAATTAAGGACACATTAATAGCATCAAATTCCACATTCAAATGAGCAGGATGAACTATTAAAGTATTAATTTAAAGTCTGCTGCACATGATCACATGATGTGGTAACTGGTATCTGGTAACCACTCTAGCGATTGAAACTTGAATCCCCATGCAATACAATCAGTAAATCACGGTGCTTGAAAGAAAAGAGGTTGACGAATTGACGAAGCACATGAATAATAAAATTGCCTCAAATTTCATGCCATGAAAATTATTTATGCTATACAAGGCAGTGCTGTAGTAGGAGGAGTACCTTGGTTCCATATGAACCTTTAACTGTAATAGATGCTTCACCCTTTTCACGACTTTGGGTTGCATGAAGCATAGAAGAACTAGAAGATTCACTTTGTCCATCATCAGCATAAGCAATATTTCCAACATCAGTATGTTGTCGACATGTTGGGCATTTTACCCACTTATCTTGAACCTTCTTATCATTAAGTAATCTCCACTCCGTAATTGCAAATAAACCTAGCAGGAGAAGATGTGAACTTGAATTTTGATGATTTTTAAAATCGTTTTAGAGAACATAAAGCATTAATAGTCAAGAGACACTCCAATAAATAATAATAAAAGGACAAAACGCAATTAGCAGGACGTAGACATGGATACGTGATGATTGGCACTTATGAATCACATAAGGGTTCCGGAAAAAATACACTCACTCTACTGAATGACATTTTTATTCAACCAGAAACTGGTGTGACATTTTCAGATATACAGACTTGCATTCTTGGCCTTTTTAGGCCATACTTCATATTTGCATGTGAAGAGTCTTTTTGAAGTGATTCAGGTATATTGTCCCATTTATTGAGGCATGATCATATTGTGGAGATGATTGATCAAAGTAGAAACAAAAATCATATTGTGGAGAGGGTATGGTGAACACTCACATTTACAGCATGTAACATGCCCACATGGAAAAACCATCTTTCGAATGGTTAATGTTTCTTGACAAACTGGGCATGCTTCTTTATCACCAGTAAGTATGCATTCATCTTTCTGTTCTGTAGAAGTTGACATGGTGGCTGCCTCTTCAGCTACTGAGGAATGATTTGGACTTTCCAATGGCGTCTTCTGTTTAGCTTGTACCAGACCCTAGGAAAAATAAAATAGAGTTAGTACCTACAGAGGTAATTCATGAATGGTTAAAAATGGATTTGTGTTTGTACCTTTAAATAGCGAAGTTTCCCTTTTACGCAAGACAACAACTGCAAGGATGTGAACTTGTCGCTAGTGTATAGGACGTTAGCTGAAGGTAATTCATGTTCACTTAAAGCATCAAGAGATTTATCATTCTCATTTTCGGCCAGGCGCAATCTTGAGGTTGCCATATTAATTTCGTCATAAGCTTGTAGAATTTGGGCTTGGGCTATTGCCAACGATCTTGCATGGCCATACTCCTTGCGCATGCCCTTAACCAGGTAATAAAGAAAAAGGATCAGTTTTATCAAAGCTTGCTTGCAATACTATTAGCTGAAGGCTCTTAAAATGATCTAAAGGGATAATTAGCATTCCGAAGAAGAAAATATAATCTAGTATGAGTAGGCTCTCTTCCTTCCATCAACTATGGAGAGTGCTTAGTTACAGACTTGCAGTCAAATAGTTGAGAACTAGCAGTTAAATAGTTGTGAGCTGAAAGAATACTATAAATCAGGACATACCTCAAGAATCTGTAGGTGCTTGGTGGCTTCGGATATACCTTCCCTCCCTATTTGGGCCTTGCAATGGCTTTTAATAACTCCAAGAACGACCTCTAATTCAGATGGAGATTTTGAAACCTATCAAACCAAAACAAAGTATATACATATCATCTGATGCTTAAAAAAAATCAAGCAAATTCCCAAAGTATATCCATCAAACCAAAACAAAGATACTGAAGGTTTTTGCACTTTGGAGCAAATAGTATAATACACAATTGTCAGTGGTCCTGGAAAGTGATTAAAAAATAATGTCCATAACCTAAGTTAATCTTACATGGATTGGATATGACAAATTCAAGTTAACCAGGCATCTTCATTATGTGAAAAATTAAATTAGGACATTATTTTATAGATCACAAGCAGAAGCAGAGGTAGGAACAAATATGCCTTTAAAAGTTTTTAGATGATAAGGGAATTTAAGAGTTGCACTATATTATGAGTAAAGCCCACAAATAATACTTTTTGAGCTAGTCAAAATAGAGACTGAAGTAAAACCAAAGGAAGAAATTTCAGTCCAACCAGTATCATTTCAACTATAAACAAAAAACGGATGCATTTTAGCACCCTTTAAGAATGAACAAAAGTAGTAGAGTGAGATAAAATAACTGACCACAACTTTTCCAACATCTCTCTTCTTCGATTCTTTATAACTGGGTGACGTTAAATCTTTATTTGGCTGCGACAGATTCTGATAAAAACGATTAAGTGCAGAGTTCTTCTTCTGCAAATCCACAGCCTCTTCAGCTGATGTAGCCATCCCCCCGCATACTTTTTCACTACGAAAGAGCCTTGCTTCATAACCCTGGTAAAGAAATCAGAAATCGTAAAGACTGTCCAACATATTTAAATCATACTAGAAATCAACAAGGACATGAAAAGACAAGAGTAACAACCTGAAACAACTCATCTAATTCACAGAGAACACACAGGGGACCATCATCATAAGCCTTGCAATTTCGACAGTATCTCACGCTTTGAATATCCTCCTCCTTTGGCTTCTCCATCGTCTGATCAATTTCTAAGAGTCGATCAAGTAACAGCTTCCTAGATGCTTCTAATTGGTCCAAACCAGTCTGTATATGATACTTCAGTCCACTTATACTTTGGAAACTATATGAAAGGGACAAAAAGTTAACCAGCATCCACACAACATTGACAACATAGATTATGTTTGCTAGAAGGTCTTAATCTTTCTTCAACAAGAAATGCCAATTAGATGAGCTCCTGAATAAATGACAATATGCATCTTACTAATTAAGAGTTCAATGGAATTCTAATGTTCAGCTAGTGCCGAATATAGTTATGTACTAGTGTAAAAAGGATGCATACATGATGCATCACTGTAGCATCAAAAATTGGCTAGCCATTGACAGCCTTAAACATGGCAATCAAAATTCTAACATCATATTCAAACCATAAGCACTTCTAATACAGAACTTCTGCCTCCAGTAAGTTATGGCTTTAATCAAAAATTTGGCAACCCACATTTGGATCAGGGAAACATAAATTTCTTCAATACATTCAGAAAAATTCTGTGATTCTACCTTTACACTAATATATTAGATGGTGGTCGCACAGTGTTTCTGTGAAACCAATCACTGTAATATATTTGTTTTGTTATCATTCAGTCGATGGTCAGACCCGGATCGCGTAAGAAATGATGCTAACAAGGTGACTGTGCACTACATAGAGATACAATCCAACACTATCATTACGGGATATGACATTTCAGTGGATATTTGAGTCATATAACGACTAAACTACCATATATGTGATTATCTACATGAACTTATAACAAAAGTCAGATTGTTATG